GGAAGAAATACCTGGACCGGCTGGGGCTCATGCAAGATTACAAAAGGCTCCTCTTCTGATTGCTGGAACTGCATTGTGGCCCACGTGTCCAGTATGTCCGCTGCAGCGTTCCCGACTGTCTTGCCGCCTACACGATCGAGACACATCGATGAGGACCACAAGGATGATAACGAGCTGGTGCTGTGTGTAGGGACAACAGCAAAGATTTGGTCGTACGACCCACCATTGAACTCTTCCGGCTGCATGCTCTTGTACTCGTGTCTCCGATGACTGGTTTGTAGCATCATGGTACCATCGTCCAAGACACGGAGACCCATAAAATGTTGGTTCGCATAGAGCAAGTAGATTCCACGAGAAAGGTTTTGCTCGTAATGGGGAACGACGTGATGCCTCAGCGATTGCTGTAATGGATATATTGTTTAAATTATTAGTAGACAAGCTATAATGTTAAATTTGCAAACGGACACCTAGGGTTAGCAAACGTCGAGTCTACTTCATCCTGAGCAAGAAGCTTGTGGGGTTGCAACAGGCGGTTCCCATCCGCCAATGCCCACATAGGCCCGTGCTTCTCATACTTGGCCGGGAAGCCAACGGAACGAAGCGCGTCTACCAGGCAGGTATCACGGAACTTGTGGTTGCCTCAGTGTGGTGGTTCGTATGTTTTTTTACTCGATCAATCTTTCTATAAACTTAATACGGATGAGTGACAGTCATCGGATGGCCACGGCATAGACTGTCTCGTCTTGGCCGTTGCGAGGGCACGGACCGGCTCGGCCATGAGGTGATGCGACAGAATCTGCTGGGACCTATGACTGCGTTTGAACATGACACAGCATCATCACAGGTTCTTGGGTATAAGTTTGACATACATCTCTAATGCTATGGACGAGTGGCAAGTTCAAGTGACCTCTTCTTCCATGCACGCCCGGAGCGTGCTTCACTGACGGGATCCGGCTTGGTCTGCTCGAACCAATTGTCCTCATATGGAAGGGGCACATCAAAAAGGAATGTGTAGCAGCACTATGTCCTTCCAGAGGGCGATCTCGGCAGCTTCACAGTCGCCGTGCTCGGCAGCATGCAATTATGCAAGACGATGTTGTCGCCTTGCTTTCAGGATGTATCGCTGAAGGTGTTACATCACACAGAAGACCTAGTGCATGCTTGTAGATATTGAATGATTGTAGAAACCAAGCAGCACCAATTGGGCGTGTCGTGTGATTTCTGACCGATATGCATGAAGCCAATTCCTTGGTGATACAGATAGATGGTAGCACAGACAACTGCAGCTCTCGAGAGGTGGCATGTATGTTCTCAAGGGTCTAATATGCAACACGGGAACATCGTTTGTGATCACTTCGATATTCGAGCTCTGCCAGCTCCTTGTGAATGAGTCGATCGGTCCTTTCCTGCAAACATTTTCATTGCAAGATCGGAAATATTCTGCAAGCCAAACCAAGTTGACGTGCATACGATAGCAAATTCATATTTGCAGCCGATCTACACTGTAATGGATCTGGTTCATGCGCCGGTCCCATGCATCTATGTCGTCAGCTGACAACCCCTGACGCTCATCCGGCTCGACCGGCACATCCGACCTTAATCGAGAGATAAACAGTGTCATAACTGTATGCCGCATGATAATGCTGTCAGGTTGCAGCGGCATGTCCTGCGTGTTCATCTTCTCCGTCGGCCTACACTATAAGTACAGGGTGCGGTCATATCAACTCAGAACAAGTGAACATTACGCATAGGAATGCCAGCGGGCTACCCGAAGCAGTTGTTGTCATTGTGCTCCACAGCCACGTGGCCAGTGATCATATGCTCTCCAGGATCTACTGCAGCAGACCTCGAATATGCTCAAAGTAACCAGTCAAAGAACACTGTCATATGTTTGATGTGACACTCAGCACTATCAAGTAGATGAAGTCCGAGGCCTGGACTCCGAATCAAGCTCACAGGGCGACAGTGCCTCTTCGATCTTTCCCGTCCGCATCCGCCTTACACAAAGTGTATGTGGACGACACGTTGGAGAAATGACAACGCAAGTACTATCGTTTAACATAATGCAGCGAAGTGTCTTGCACTTGCCAGGTTGCTTGTTCTTGGTTCGGTTGGTGCGGAGGTGTTCGGGGCGCTGGTAGTAGGAGAGCCCAGTTGCATCCAGTCCAGGGCCACGGCCCATGACAAATCGGGTTCATAGATCTGCTTCTGCTTGCGGCACCGCCCCCCGTAGGAAGGCTGGAGAACCAGAGAGTGTGACTTGTGGAATTTTCGCTTCGGGAGTGTGTTCAGCAATTCCTTTGGCGGGATCAGGAGCTGCCAGCGTGTGGTCGACTCGGGCGAGCGTAGCGGATGCAGTCCTACAGCGACGTGATGAAGCAAACAAGATTGACAACTTTTCAGTCCTAGATAGTACACACATTGCTTCTGCTATCGTATATGCGTGTTAAGTTGCCTGTACCAGTAGTCCGAGATGGGCATGGAGGGCCGTTGACCGCTTTGTGCGGGATTACGTCGGCCGCTCCTCTCTAATACACACCATCACTGTCCCAATTACATTCTTAGTGTTATTCAGCATTGTCCTGCCTCGCACCACAGAACCGTTGGAGGAGTAGAAATGCCAGAGGCGTTCAAAAAACCTTACATCAAACGATCGGACAGATCCTGCCAACATGAAGATTAGTCACACTACACGTTGGCAGTAGGTTTCATGAGGACCAAACGCTTCCGAGGTACTTGAATTTCGCAAGATATATGATCGCCGACCGGCCGAATGCCAGCGTAGCTGGGCTTGTATCGGCCAAGCCTTCAACAGGAACATAAAAAAAAAAGATTCAAGTGTGATTTACGGGTGCAACAGCAATGAACCAGGCCTGCGGGATCAAAGACAAGGCAAGTCTCACACATGAAAGTGGCCGCCATGGGCAAGAACCTTGTAGGAAAGAAGTCGCAGACATATCTACGACATGCTGCTTGCCCACTGCAGTCAAGCAGCGAAGAATGCAATGAGAGTGTTTATGAAATCGAGCGGCACAAGCTTGAAGCTGAAGATGCAAGCCACAACAGACGTGCAAAGTAGACATGCGTGACAGGCAGGTATCATGCGGATGCGGAGTTACTGCTCACAGAACGCAGCGACATGTTTCCAATCTGCAACATGCTGCTTATGTAGGAGAATGGATGTTATCATCAACCCTATGTGGCAACGTGATAATCCTTAGAGGGACGTAATCATAGTGCCAGCGTGGCAGCTATGTATTTCGTAAATCCAGACAAACTGTGAAATCCTTCAGTCATTCCACAAGCCTTTCCTGGATATGCTGATCCGTTGAGATACACACCTCATAAATCAGGCCGTACACATCTGGAATATTTGTTTGACATAAAGCCAACTAGAGCCCCGAATACAGTGACTTTGGATTAACTGCACAGGATACCTGAATCAGTGGATGCTGATTGCAGGCTCGTTATAAACCAGCGCATGACATGTGACCAGGCCTGCCATAACGTTCCAGTGTAGAGGGTGGCGACAGCATCCTTTTGTTCGCAGCATCATGCCGGTTAAACCTAGCACATTGACTGTGATATCTTCGTATAACACAAAAATAGCTTCAGCATACGATGTGTCAGCTTTATACGTTACCTTTTTTCATTCCTCTATCACTTTGCTGCAGTCTATGTTTGAAATGCATAAATGCATAAATGTCTCTAGTTGTCGGTCATCAATCCAAGAATGTAAACCCTGCTCATAGGGTCAGCTACTATAGGATCCGTACATCAACTTGCATATAAAACCCACGATTCGGGGTCTAATTGTAAAGTTTGAATACAGTGACTTTGGATTAACTGCACAGGATACCTGAATCAGTGGATGCTGATTGCAGGCTCGTTATAAACCAGCGCATGACATGTGACCAGGCCTGCCATAACGTTCCAGTGTAGAGGGTGGCGACAGCATCCTTTTGTTCGCAGCATCATGCCGGTTAAACCTAGCACATTGACTGTGATATCTTCGTATAACACAAAAATAGCTTCAGCATACGATGTGTCAGCTTTATACGTTACCTTTTTTCATTCCTCTATCACTTTGCTGCAGTCTATGTTTGAAATGCATAAATGTCTCTAGTTGTCGGTCATCAATCCAAGAATGTAAACCCTGCTCATAGGGTCAGCTACTATAGGATCCGTACATCAACTTGCATATAAAACCCACGATTCGGGGTCTAATTGTAAAGTTTGACGCTCGTAGCAGCTCGAGTAGTCGTAGTAGTAGTAGTAGTAGTAGTAGTAGTAGTAGTAGTAGTAGTAGTAGTAGTAGTACTAGTAGTAGTAGTAGTAGTAGTAGTAGTAGTAGCAGTAGTAGTAGTAGCAGTAGTAGTAAGTAGTAAGTAGTAAGTAGTAAGTAGTAGGTAGTACGTAGTTTCAAGTAGGAAGTAGTACGTAGTACGTATAGTAAGTAGTAAGTAGTAAGCAGTAAGCAGTAAGCAGCAAGTAGTAAGTAGTAAGTGGTAAGTAGTAAGCAGTAAGCAGTAAGTAGTAAGCAGTAAGTAGTAAGTAGTAAGTAATACGTAGTAAGTAGTAAGTAGTAAGAAGTAAGTAGTAAGTAGTACGTAGTAAGTAGTAAGTAGTACGTAGTACGTATAGTAAGTAGTAAGAAGTAAGCAGTAAGCAGTAAGCAGCAAGTAGTAAGTAGTAAGTGGTAAGTAGTAAGCAGTAAGCAGTAAGTAGTAAGCAGTAAGTAGTAAGTAGTAAGTAGTACGTAGTAAGTAGTAAGAAGTAAGTAGTAAGTAGTACGTAGTAAGTAGTGAAGTAAAATGAAGATAGTGGTAGATCGTCGTCGTAGTAGTAGTAGTAACACGGGTAGCAGCATTGGGAACAGCAGCAGAAGTAGCAGTAGTAGCAGAAGTACTGGTGGAGTAGCGTAACTCGCGCGTCACAATCATTACCAAACCTTGCTGACCTTGCTGCACTCTCTGCAAGCCCGTCCAGCCGATGCAGTCTCAGAGCCGTCCCTTCAGGACCAGCTCGTCCACCCTCCAGAAGCCTGGCTTGGCCACACCTTCTTTCGGGTCTTGACGAAGTGTGGGCAGAAGGTACTTACACCGGCACTGGTACACTTGGTTTTCACCAATTGCATCCTCGCGCCGGCGCAGGTACATCCTGCCGTACTCTTCCTTGGCCTCGCGGTGCACTTTGACGCCGCAGTTTTGGTACCCAACCCACTGGCTTTTGCTGTCCGCCTTAGGCGTTTTGGGTGGGTACCAAACTGTGACACCGAACTTCACAAGGAGGAGGTGCTTTGACGCGTCGATGGCCTGGCTCGGTGGCTCGGCTCTGCTGGATACCTAATTTGGCCCTCGTGTGCGTGCGCCGTTTACCTGGAGGTTGGGCGGGTCGAGGTCTAGCACCTCCGAGGTCCTTGCATGGTTTGCATTTCTTGCGTCTGCTGACTTAGGTCTGCTAGAGACTTGTAAGCTAGGCTTGCCACGAGTTCGTGCTCCGGGTCAAGTGCACAGCAGGCTTCGACCTTGGCTATGGTTGCGGTTGCATACTTTCCCATGGTGAACGTCACCTCTGAGGCTCCAGCACTCCTGTCGCGCGAGGCTCCTCGCAACAAGCAGTGCTGCAAGAATGTCTGCACTAAGCTAGGTTTGCATGAGTTTGGCAGTCCTTCTGCTTTTTCTGTGGCCTGAGACATCAGAGATGCACAGCTTTGCTAACATGAGGTTTGCACAACTGCAAGGTAGCTGCGGGTTCTTCGTCTGCTCCTGCGCCGGTGCATAAGAAGATCATTCCCAAACTGAGACGAGTTGCCCGCCCTGCTCCTCCTTCTGCGCCTTGCGCTGGCTGCCCGTTGCACGAGTAGCGCCTTATACAGCAGGATGCAATGAAACTTCCGTGTCAAGAAACAGGGGTGGTCAGCTGAGAAAGAAGCCACGGTTCTTTCCACGGCCCATGACGCTCTCAAGCTACAGGACTGACTGCTTGTTGGGCTAGACGGTAGCTTGAGCTTGCATGGTACCGACGGAAGGGAAACAGCAAATGCATCCAGGTTTCGGTGCTTCGACCCGCATGGCGCTGATCAGTACTAACGCTTGTCAGTTGGCTCTGATAGCAACCTTTCACAGGCCATGTTTCCCACAGCAGCAGCAGCAGTAACACTGGCAGCCGCACAGCTATAGCAGTCGCCGTACAGGCAGTAGCATTAGTAGTACTGGCAGTACGAGAAGCAGAAATGGTGGTGGTAGTAGTAGTAGTCGTCGTCGTCGTCGTACTCGCACTAGTAGAGACGAATAGTATTAGTATTCGTATTCGAGTATTGGAATTAGTATTAGTATATCGTGTTAGTGTTAGTGTTAGTACTAGTACTCGTATTAGCATTAGCATTAGTATTAGTATTAGTATTCGTATTAGTATTAGTATTTGTGTTAGTATAAGTATTAGTATTAGTATTGGTATTAGTATTAGTCATTCTTGGATTGATGACCGACAACTAGAGACATTTATGCATTTCAAACACGCGCGCCCGGAGGCGGCGGCTTCTATGAGTACGCACGCCCGGAGGCGGCGGCTTGGAGCACGCACGCCCGGAGGCGGCGGCTCAAGAGCACGCACGCCCGGAGGCGGCGGCTTGGAGCACGCACGCCCGGAGGCGGCGGCTCGGAGCACGCACGCCCGAAGGCGGCTCAAGAGCACGCATGCCCGGAGGCGGCGGCTCGGAGCACGCACGCCCGAAGGCGGCGGCTCAAGAGCACGCACGCCCGGAGGCGGCGGCTCGGAGCACGCACGCCCGGAGGCGGCGGCTCAAGAGCACGCACGCCCGGAGGCGGCGGCTCGGAGCACGCACGCCCGAAGGCGGCGGCTCAAGAGCACGCACGCCCGGAGGCGGCGGCTCGGAGCACGCACGCCCGACGGCGGCGGCTCAAGAGCACGCACGCCCGGAGGCGGCGGCTCGGAGCACGCACGCCCGAAGGCGGCGGCTCGGATACATGTTTCTTGGTCAGGCAGTGCCTCGTGCCGCCGTGTGCGACTGCGTCTGCTCTACAGCCACCTAATGTGAAAGTGAAGAAGCTTTCTGCAGGCGAACCCTCCAGGACAACCGATTTAATGTTATTCGACTGCGCGCGACAGCACTTGAAAGTTGATGCAACGTATAGGGTGGTGTCAGACGATGCAACGCAATGTTGCTAGCAATAGCGACGGCGCGCGACCGCGCTTGAAAAATAATGCAATGCAGTGTGGTTTACAACCTGGCAACATACTAATTACAAATTGCAGCAAAGCTGGTATGCATGCAGTACAAATGCGATAGATGTGTTCCTGAGGCTACCATAAAGATAAGCAATATGATCAAAATGATAAGGAGGTTGTACACATAAGTGTATAAGCAGCAATAAGATCATACCAATATGAAAAGAAATATGATATAATAATACAAAAGTGATGGAATAAATATTTGATATAGTATAATGATGGCAAGGGAAATGATAAGGTAATAAAGACCATGAAGATGTCCGAGCAGAAAGCCTGTAAATGCCGCGTTCAAAAAACGGCCAGGGATCCCACACATCTGCGGGCAAAATCTGGCGGAAGTGATCCGCCACCAAGCAAAAAGCCTGTAAATACCGCATTAAACAAAGGGCCAGGGATTTCACATATCTGTTGGCAAAATCTGACAGAAGTACCGATTGCTCACTTCCGCCAGATTTTGCCACCAGATATGTGAAATCCCTGGCCCTTTGTTTAATGCGGTATTTACAGGCTTTTTGCTCGGTGGCGGATCACTTCCGCCAGATTTTGCCCGCAGATGTGTGGGATCCCTAGCCCTTGAAGTGGTGGGTGAGACACGGCGGTTTGGAGCCTGCTGTCTCTTCCCATTTCCAACACCGATCCTGACGGCGAGGCTGTTCTGTCGAATGACATCTTCGCTAACTCTTTGGTAGGGTGGAGGTGGATTCAGGGGTTAAGGGGCGGTGGGTTTAGGGGTAGGGAATGAAAAGAATGGTTGAGATGGAGGGAGTGGAGGGGAGCGGAGGAAGGGAAGAGATGGGATAGGGAAGGGCAGAGGAGATGAGGAGGATGGAGTGAGGGGAAGGGATGGGGAGGGGAGGCAATGATGGGGTGAGGGGGGAGGGAGGGGGTTTTGAGGGGTGGGAGAGAATTGAAGGAGGGGGTGGAGGAGTGCGTGGGTGAGGGGTTGGGGGTGGGGGGTGGGGGGTGGAGGGGGTGGGTGGAGGGGGTGGTTGGTAGGTAGTGGGGGGGTGGGAAGGTGCCAAGGGTGTGGGGGTGGGTAGGGTAGTGGGGGGTGGGGGTGGGGAGGAATCCCAACCCTTCCACCCGCCCACCCCTCCAACGCTAGGGGGTGGGGGGACGGAGGACCGGGGAGGGTGGGTTGGGGGGGGTGGAAGGGTGTGGGGGTCGGGTAGTGGGGTCGAGGGAGGGCAGGTGAGAGAGGGGAAGGGTGGAGGGAATGGGCGCAGGAGTGGTGGTGGGCAAGGGAATACAGGTGGGCGGGGGAGAGCAGGGGGTGAGGCAGTGGCCCTATCGACAGAACCCCACCATTTCAATTAATTGAAATAATTGAAATAATTGAAATAATTGCAATAATTGACATGGGGCCGATTTCAATTATTTCAATTATTTCAATTGTTTGGGTCACCTAAATAATTGAAATAATTGAAATAATTGAAATCCTTGTGGTCCGTGAGGCCCTTCCACAGAACCATAGGATTTCAATTAATTGAAATAATTGAAATAATTGAAATAATTGAAATATTTGAAATGGGGCCGATTTCAATTATTTCAATTATTTCAATTGTTTGGGTCACCTAAATAATTGAAATAATTGAAATAGGGCCGATTTCAATTATTTCAATTATTTCAATTAATTGAAATCGTGTGGTTCATCCGTTGACCTAGTAAACCTATTGATTTCAATTATTTCAATTATTTCAATTGTTTGGGTCACCTAAATAATTGAAATAATTGAAATAATTGAAATCCTTGTGGTCCGTGAGGCCCTTCCACAGAACCATAGGATTTCAATTAATTGACATAATTGAAATAATTGAAATATTTGAAATGGGGCCGATTTCAATTATTTCAATTGTTTGGGTCACCTAAATAATTGAAATAATTGAAATAATTGAAATAGGGCCGAGTTCAATTATTTCAATTATTTCAATTAATTGAAATCGTGTGGTTCATCCGTTGACCTAGTAAACCTATTGATTTCAACTATTTCAATTATTTCAATTGTTTGGGTCACCTAAATAATTGAAATAATTGAAATCCTTGTGGTCCGTGAGGCCCTTCCACAGAACCATAGGATTTCAATTAATTGAAATAATTGAAATAAGTGAAATAATTGAGATTTCAATTATTTCAATTATTTCAATTGTTTGGGTCACCTAAATAATTGAAATAATTGAAATAGGGCCGATTTCAATTATTTCAATTATTTCAATTAATTGAAATCGTGTGGTTCATCCGTTGACCTAGTAAACCTATTGATTTCAAATATTTCAATTATTTGGGTGACACAAATAATTGAAATAATTGAAATCAATGTGGTCCGTGAGGCCCTTCCACAGAACCATAGGATTTCAATTAATTGAAATAATTGAAATAATTGAAATGGGGCCGATTTCAATTATTTCAATTATTTCAATTGTTTGGGTCACCTAAATAATTGAAATAATTGAAATAGGGCCGATTTCAATTATTTCAATTATTTCAATTATTTCAATTAATTGAAATCGTGTGGTTCATCCGTTGACCTAGTAAACCTATTGAATTTCAATTATTTCAATTATTTCAATTATTTGGGTGTCACAAATAATCGAAATAATTGAAATAATTGAAATCCTATTGGTCCGTGTGGCCTTTCCACAGAACCATAGGATTTCAATTAATTGAAATAATTGAAATGGGGCCGATTTCAATTATTTCAATTATTTCAATTGTTTGGGTCACCTAAATAATTGAAATAATTGAAATCAGCACCTTATATTTGAATTATTTCAATTATTTCAATTATTTACAATATATATAAATAAAAAAAGAAAACATAGTAGCTAAATAGACCCAAGAGGTAGCACTCTCTCATATATATATATATATACATATATATACACACTCATACAAACTCATACATGACATACATACATACATGCATACATGCATACAAACATACACTAAAGCCCTCAAGAGCCAGCCAAGCGAACCAAAGTGGACTCAAGACGATGCCCCTCTGTCGGACCGTGACGGAGGCAGCCGTGGTAGAGCTTTCGAGGCGTGGCTTGCGAAAGACAGCCTTCGAAGCTCCACCCTTTGAATGAGCGCCTGCCGGAGTGACTGGGACACTAAGGTGCAACAAAAAAAAATCCAGAACTCCGAGAAGCAATGGATACTGGTCTAGAGGAATAGATCCGGATGCTTGTATCGTTTTTCAATGAAGTCTCACCTTAATGAGGGAGTGAAGCCACCAAATCCTGATGTTTGATTCATCGATGCTTTCCCGCCGCTTGCGTGTTTGTGTTCTCCGTAAGATGTCCGAAACGATCGTGCCTGATTTCGTGCCAGCGGCTTAATGGTTTAGGGTTTAGGGTTAAGCGGCTTGTGAGTCAAGCTCTGAGCACCACTTTTGACCCTAAACCTTGCAGGCCTTAAACAGTCCAAATTGAACATAAACCCTAGACACCATATATAGGCCCCAAATCCTCAGTATCATTCAGGGTCAAGGGTTTGGAGGCCATCTCAAAGCTTTCAGCTGAAATGCTAACCGTGGGAGTTTAAGCGTTAGTGCAGTTCGGGGTTTCGCCAAACCCTCAACGCCAGCCCCTGAGCAAGGGGTTCTGGATGAAGATTGCTCCGGGCTCACACTTTCAGCTAAGGAAACATGGGAAAGTCTGTGCTGCCGCTCGCATGAACCGCACGAGGAACCCGATGGTATATT